TGTAATGTGACTATAATAAACTGTTTTCCAAGCTTATATGTTGAGTTTTGAAGGAATGAAAATTCAAATATTAAGAAAACATGAAAAACAGTGTATTTTCACTATAACTCAGTCAAATCTTGCTCAAATTTAATAATTAAAGTGTCTATTTGAAGCATATTTAAAAAACATGAATTTACATCAAATAATCACTGAATTCTGTGCAGAATTGAGTGAGAAATAGCTATTTTTTGTTTTGTTTACTTTTGTGACAAAAAATGATGAATCATCAAGTGTGACAATACTTATGAAAAAGGCAGTAACGTCACGTTCGTAGCAGGCTTCGTGGTAGTCTCGTTCGTAGTAGACTGCACAGGGGGGGGGCGGGGACGATCTGTCCTTCGCCCTCGTCGTCGGTGCCATGCTTATATGTGCTAGCCCAGTCTCATAATCTGAAAGAATGTAGGGGAGACGCAACACTTGAAATTTTAAGAATGCTACTCTACTCTTTATATATGCATTGACCCTAAGTCCCTAAGGGTCGAACACAGAAGGAAGGTGACAGACACCGAGGAGGCGAAGCCCTCATACATGCGTGAACGTCTTGCCGAGGCTCAATACATGATTATAGGCAAATTGGTCATCACCAGATCAATGGAGAGCCTCGAGCACTGGCTGAACGACCTCAATTTCGCCATCCTCACCTCAGATCATCTCACTATCAGCCCAAACGCTGCACACGGGGTCTCCGAAAATATCGAATTTGTTTCACGTGCGAAGCACAGGGTTAGTTCGGGAGCAAATATTAACTTGATTGACAGCGGTGTCTTGGAGCCATTGTCCGACGTCGACTCTGAGATGGGAACAGGGATTTATAGTGTTGATTCTGGACCATATTCAGGTTGCATTGTTGATCCACGAAACGTGATGTCGTACATTGGACAAAACAAGGAGGACGTTGCCTGGGAGGAGACAAAGAACATTGCAAGGCTCTTTGCAGAGGATACAGGTGCTCCGGACTCGAGCCTCTCTTCCAGTGTCGGAATTCTTCCAAGTTGTGGTTATACCCAGCTTGATACGCATCTTCACGCCATTGTTTTCCGGGTACCTCCAGAGGCTGGACCACCGCGTACCTTGCGGAACTTGCTCGTCGAACGTAATGTGAAGCATTCCTTACACGATCGAGTCCAGTTCGCCATCAAGCTCGCAACCTCTGTCCTTGTTGTCCATTCCTTAGGGCTGGTCCACAAATCCATTCGGCCGGATTCGATACTCGTCATAGAAAATGCTGCAGGAAGCGTAACAAACCTATATCCACACAAACTCGGAATACCGTATCTTCTTGCATTTGATTCGTCAAGATCTAGCAGAGGACCTACAATGAGGGAGCGTTACGCTTTTCCAAATGGTGCAATCTGGGGCACATTATACAAGCATCCACGCCACCTCGGGTTTCGTCAGTATGATTACGAAATGCGCGACGACATATTCAGCCTTGGTGTCTGCCTGCTTGAAATCGCCTTGTGGGACTCGTTATTCGTATGGAATTCAAATGAAGGGGGTTTTGTGGAAAGAAAAGAAGCTGTCGATTTATCGGAAGACAGATGCAGGGAGGAGATCGCGAAACAAGGGAGACCGAAGAACAGTAACAAGACTTTGTTTCGAAAGTACCTCTTGAAAGAGGCTGCGAAAGAGAAGATACCACCAATCCTTGGAGATCTCTTCCGGGATGTCGTGGTGGCTTGCTTAACATTTGGAGACCCATTCGAAGTCACGAAGGATAATGCGTTCCAGTCACTGATCGAAGCCGAGTCTGATCTTCCTCCCGACGAACAGAGCATACACTTTGTTCGGACGATCTTGGGAAAGCTGCGCAGCATCAAATTAGCATAGAGACTCGAGAATAAATGTGCTTTTACTTTAGGTAATGGATATGACATGATAGACTAGCTATGTATCTCTGCTGCCAGAAGTGAGTGTACTAAGGTAACTAATCTTGATATTTACAAACTGCACTCACTTATTCGTGCGATTTTCCTTACTGCTCGGCCAACAGAAGCAGTGACAACAGCAGATATGAGGACATTCAATCCGGCGAATCTGTCGATCCATGGCTCACGCACAGGTCAAACGGAGTGCCATGGGCTGAAAGGAGTTGTGAACATATGCATTTTGGCAAGACCGATGGGGACAACAACACGAAAGAAAGAACGTGACATAAGTGCCAACAGAGAAGTATGTGACGAAAGAAAAATCACGAAAGCGAACGAGAGTGAAAGTATCGAAACATAACGATATATTAGTGATACGTCAACTGTGTGCATGGACGTCTATATCCCCAAAATCATGTAAACGTCAAGAAATGGTGAAAGCGAAGAAAGGCAAAACAGTGTTCATGCAAGAATATCAAAAGCTTATTGATCACGTATTCGGTCCATAGAAGTCCGAGAAGATACAAGTCCACTCCCTTCCTCAACAACGCTCAACAACCCCGTGTTTTCGCTCTGCGACGACTCACGGCTATGAATGCTATCCTTCGCAGAACTTGATCTGCTACTCGTACTCGCGTTGGACGAGCTTCGAGCTCGAGGACCCGCGGGTCTGTGGATACGCGGTGGCTTCTCAAACACTTTTGGTATCGAGGTCAAACGAGAGACATTCCACGCGCTAGGTGGTGCAAATGGAGGTGATGGTTGTCCGCTCCCAGGGACAATCGGCACTGGAGGCACACCTGGTGGCAGTACATGAATCGGAGAGTCCGGCATCGTATTCGATACGCCTGGCCCAGCAAGTGTCGACATCCTCTTAGGGTGCCTCTCAGAGCGCGGTGAGTCACTCGCGGTAGTACCAGAAGAGTACTTGCTGACGGGTGTCCTCATTTCCGAGGTACGCGCAACTGAATTATGTCGTGAAAGCTTGCCAGCCGATTGTCTCAAGCTCGATCGCCGACTTGAACGGGAACGCAGGGAACGAAGTATCTTGTTTCCTTTGGAGAATCGAGAGTTATGACTAAGCGTCGTGCTGTGATGAGATAGGGACGCATTTGAGGAGGCGATAGCTGGACTAGCTGGAAGGAGAGGAGTATCAGGGCTGACGTCGTCTTGGTCATCGGTATAGATGTTTTCTTGCGCCCAATGCCTATCATCCGAATCCGCGTGTCCAGATTGCGAACTGAAGTGCTGAGCATAATAATGCGCATCATCTGCGTCCCCTGGGTCCTTTCCATAGTCGTCGCTGAAGTCAATTTCCTCCCATTCTTCTGTGAGGTCCGACACACTGAATCCGCTGAATGAGCGATGGTGGGTCCGAATCGATCGGACCGTCCCTCTTCTGTTTAGGGTTCCTGCTCTGGATGACCTGATGGTGTCGGCATAGGCATTTTTGCGTACAGAGCCTGTGTCAGTGTTGATGCTAAGGCTTACAGCTAAACTCGGATTGCGACGATGGACTGGTGGCCACGAAACGGACGGGTGGGTCGTAGAGGCAGGTACGCGTGTTCGTATAGCACGAGAAGGGACCGGAGAAGAAGAATATGGGACTCCTCCGATGGACAGTGTACTAAGCCGACGGATCTGAGGGAAGACTTTAGTGAAATCACGTAAAGTGAAAGCAAGACGTACCGAAGGGAGTATAGCTGTTGCATTCCTTCCTGGCACATCCTCTTTGTCGCCAACCAAACCCACTTCCCCTTTCTCCTGGTCCTCTATCGCCATAAAGCTTGAATCGCTTCCAGAGATATTTGAAGAGGTAGTTCGTCTCAACCAGTACGGAAGGTGAAGACTGCGAAAAGCAGATCGTTGGAGCCCAGGGACAGTCTTCCGAGCATTTCTCCGCGATCGCCTCCGTTTCCAACATAGAAGTAAAAGCCCAATAGCAACCGAAAACATTACAGATGCAAGGATGATCCCCGTGAGTGCGCCACTATGTAATTCAAAAGAAAATTAGCATTAATTAAAAAAGTTTTACATATCCACGCACTTGCTCAGAGAAACACCAGACGATGGTTTTGCAGCCGCACTCGCACTTGTAGTCATTGTCATTGTCATTGTCACCGTCGTCTTTAAAGTGGTCATGCTCGTTACAGTACTCGGTGTCGTCGGAATGCGGATATTTGGAAATGCTAAACAATATTATTCATATACATATCGATTAAATAATCACGAATAAACAACTTACCGGGAGGGAGTGGAGTGGGCATTGATGGTGGGATTGCACTCGGAGGACCCGGCTCAATACCGACTTTGTCAATATTGATTCTGCCGTCACCCATGGACTGCACCCGTACAGCATGTAGGACTGTCGGGTCCAGCCCGCTGAGATGCCATACCATCTCGCCAGGCTGAAGTTCAGTCTGAGTGAGTGGAACGGATGACGAATTCCAATCGCAAGTGACATTCATGGTCCCAAACTGTGGCGATTTTGCCGAATAAAGAAATATTTCAGTACCCTGGAAAATAAGGGAGGCCGTCGCGCCTGGCGTCGTTGTCCATAGTGCAGTAGAATTGTAGTAGCCACTCGTAATAGCGGAACGGTTATGAGCGAGTTGATGCCTAGAGTTCGTCGTGAGTGCGATGTGAACAGGAGAATATTCCTAGATGACGTACCAGCCGGCATCCCTCATGCTCAGATTAGCATTTTCGGTAGAGGAGAAGACCCACTGTGCCGCGGAATCGTCGACCAGTAAGCTCATAATGGACGGGGTGGAGTAGAATGGAGGATGAATGGAGTGGAGTAGAGCAGAGCGCCGGAAGCTCTTCCCTGATCAACGGTATGAGAAGCCGAAAAAACCCATCTAACGTTCGCAATCCAAGGACAGACACGTCAATGAGGCAGTCGTTGTCTCTGAGCGCGTATGCACCCTCTTGCGGCACGATCAGAGGTAGGGAGAATAAGAGATGAACGATGGTAGTAGGATATCGGTGCAGCTGGGTAAGATGCACGAAACCGGAAGTGCGACGCCAGTCAGCAGATGAAGCTATTCTGGACGAGAATCATAGGGCATGGGAGTTTGATGCGCAAGGAGCGAATGGCCGAGCGCACAAGGTTCGGCACATCTTCGCAATGAATGGAGCGTACTTCGTGCCTGATGAAGAAAACGAAAATACGATTTAGACGCCGAAACAGCTTTTACCAAAGAGACGGACTTGCACGCTATTGCCTCGCATTGAGATGAGGACTGTGTTGCGCCGTCGCGATTGGGCTGTACTAGACAGTTGCATCACCGCCTTACGTAGAACAAGGCATCGATCTTCGGCGCATTTCCATCATCATCAACATCAAACAGCCATCCGGTCTCTCCTTATATCACCGAAGAGAGTCACCAATCCTCAATTTAGCATTGTATCGCGTGCTCGACGACTGGACGAGAAAGCACGCGGTGCTGTCGATCTTTGCCTCGTGACCGGGCGAAATGAAAGTCCATCCAGCGGCAGGAAGCAGACGACTTGCATAATGGCATCTTGGTGACACACCACTTCCAAGTGTACCTGAAGCAGTGTACAGTCGGGGAGAAGCCATTCCACTTAGTAACATCGTCCAGGAAAAACTTATGTGTTCGACCACCCATTACATTCTTCTGGCAACCATGACCGCATGCCTAGCGACACGCCACAAATTCGATGCTACTGGTCTATAATCAATGTGAGAACAAAAATTAACATCGCATAGCATGATTGAAATCAGCTCACTGATTCTTCGGGTCATTTGTGGCCAGAATTGCATTGCTGTCCCTGGGACGATAGCGAAGCAACCTGTCATAGCTCACTGCAAACATTTAACACCCGATCCTGTTCCTTTCGTTTGAGAACTCTTTCACTTTAAAGTTGACACCCGTGGGAGGCCAGTCATGGAGAATGTTCCTCAGCACGGTTGCCTTGGCCTTTCATGTTTTTTCAAAAGTTCTCCAAGTGGCGAAGGGACCAGTTGAACCTCATGCAGCGAAACGCAACTGACCGCCAGTAGAATATCACCTTCGACTTCATGTGATGCCAATACCCAGCGTCGTAAAATCAAGCCAGTCCCACTCAGTGCATACCCAACATGCGGATGTGTATAATCAACGAGTATTTTAGGCCACTCACTCTCAACGTTGACAGTTGGAGATTCGACATGCAACGTGGGAAGGAGACGTCCAGCATACAAATATTTTAACCTCGATATCACAGTGTGTGTGCTACGAAATAGCCGTTGACACTGATAACCTGCTTGTTCATCTGTTCATCTATGACCACAGGTATGACAGGACCAACGGCAGGTCTGGACAAGGAAATTACGGCATCAGCGCTTAACTCATCCAATCGCGAACGTTCCGCACGATGCTCCACTAGGTCGCTATTCGAGTTTGTTCACAACGTTAGTGCATGGATACATGACATGACAATGATACCAAAGGGACCTACAATCACCGGGGTTTGATGGGCGGGAATGCCATTCGGCCGCACTCATTGATTGAGTTGCCACTTTGCGGCAGATGAGAACAGTGCCACTCAAAACTTGTTGAACGACGGCCCTATAATTTTTAAGTGATTTTAATTGCTTTTCCCATGGGCCCTTTGCCTCCTAGAACAGCACGGAATAAAACAGAGTGATGAATGTGATGATGGAAGACAGTTGTCGTGTCGTCCATGACGTGAAAGCTAATCGGTTGCGAATTCGGTAATTTCCGAACGTCCCCAAAAGAAGAAAATAAGTCTTACGTACGCGTTGACCATCAACGACAACTTTCGACAATTACAAATCGTCTTATGTAGTCTTTCTCATAAACCCTTCAAGCGTACGGCACCCATCACTCAGTACTCGTGGACAATGTCTTGATTGAAAGGTTAATAGCTATACAGGCTACACGCAAGGATTGTTATTTCAATCCACATAGTATCGATAACACTATTTAATTACGCTTGACATCATGACAGATATAGAACCGCTACATTGACGATTTACTCTTTTCCAGGAATCAAGAGGTAGATTTCGCGACGCTTGTCTCCAAGTGAGACAGTAGGGTCAGGTAGCGGCTCCACGGTCCTTCCATCTTTACTTTCACGAATGATGTTGTGGGCATAGTTTGAATCCTTGTAGATACTGCCAAGTGTCATCCCCCTGGTTGGCATTCTGAGGAGCCTGTCGACGTCTATTCCCTAAAACATAAATTTGTATCAATTAAATTGTGTCATTATTTGTAATGCTAGACTTAATATATTTCCTTTTTCTGGCCTTTGTTATTTTAGCTTCCAAGCTCAGAAGAACACATTAGAGTGGATAATCTATAAGCATGCTAAACCATTCTATAGTGGAGCTACAGGACAAATACATTGAAATTATGTGTTTATATAATATACTTCCATGAGCGAGAACTTGCTGACTGTAACGGCTTAAGCACACAATTTCCAAACTTCCATTTAATCGCAGCACTCGTGAAGCAGGTATTCTTGTTGTTTTGACAGTATCAATGGAAATACTGAGAGTTCCGAGCTTTGTATCATGTGAAGCATCATTTTGCCTGCATAAACGTCTTCTTGGAAGAGACTTATATATTTGATCACCTGCGGTACCAAGCAGGGAAGCGTTTGTACATGGCTCCGAGTCGTTCGCACTATACTTTCCTCAAACAATTCACATGAGGTAGTCAAATGGAGGCATATAAAGAGACCTGGTTTAGCTACGTACTCTTCAACGAGTGCCACTTGTGACGAGCTCTATCTGTCTTTATAACTAATGGCTACAACTACTGCAAAGTCTGACCCAACGGGATTTGAATGGGTAAGCACTTTTTATCTTCTGATAGAATATACTCTGATGTCTCTTGTAGATTGAGGCATACCACCAGTGGATTCCTCCTCTTGCAGTCGAGGGTGGAATCGATCCTGAGCTTGGTGGAGCCTTGTCTGTTCTGTATGTTGCTCGAGCTGCAATCGAGGTACATTCACGCAAAAATATCGACCAGTTGAATTTCTAATAAACATATACATAATAGAACGAAGGAACCTGTAATAAATTCTTTTGACTTGTTGTTTGTTAATTGATAAATGTTAATCTGATTTGTAGATCCTGGTAAGGCAAATTACAACTATGCCTGGATTCCTCACAAGGGAAGGGTAACCCAAGTAAGCTACTGATTGTTATTACTCTAGAATGTATACCCACGCAATATTTTGTACACAGTTGGAGAAGGGATACGAGGTCCTCATTGCTCCTCAGAATGATAAATTGTTCAAGTATTTCTGGTTTGATATCACTGGGCCCTTTTCGACAAAAATCACCTGGAAAGATGTACCGTGCATGTATGCTCTGTTCATTAATGTCTATCTATTACTCTTAACGACTAAATCCAAATAATGAAATATCTTCAGTAGTGGAAAAGACAAAGATGGTAATATTTTGTATGTTGCACAAGCCGACATTGACGGCGGAACTCACTCCGGTTACGTCTCGAATGGAGAAATCGGTGAGTCAGAACCTGTCATATGCTTAAATTACTGCTTCTCTGACCTTAGTATTTGCAAGCGTCCATCCCACACGGTGACAAAGTGGAAAAGGTTGAAACATATCGTGTGCTTGTGCAAGCTCATCGAGGACAATGAATCATGTTAAGGAGATGAGATACATAGATAAATTGGAATATATTTGACTATTGACACATCAGTGTGTTAGAATAAAGACGATTATTGATGTTATTTGTGGGCACTACTATTTGCTGAATCGGGACACCAACCCAAACTTTAGCACTTCCATGCTTTTCCGAGAAACTGTCGGCATGAATGATAGCTGCTACACTGAATCGAAAGGAAAGAGTACACTAGTGCTACTTCCCAGCATTCTGCTCCGCAGCAGTTTTACCTCCACCCTCATTCGCACAGGGGCGTCATACCATCGTTCAATAGTACATACAATAGGGTACATGTCTGCACTGAATGCACAGCTAAGCTCAAAGCCGATATCACCGCCGAACGCAGGATCGCTGACTATATATTCAAATTGTTCAGACTCCGGTATAAAAGGTATACATGGAATCGAACGAGCACTGATAATGAGGAACTGTTTGTTAAAAAATACTTCGAAGTATAGCCAAGTATCTTTGAAGGAGTCAGTTTAATTTCATTTATATAAAACTTTTCAAAGCTCAATTTATCCTATTGCTGAACCTTGACAATATACTTGGTTTGTAGCACGGATATTGTCAGTCTTCTTCTAAGACTAGCTAGTCATTACTCTGGTGTCAAATACACAATTTATCCCTTGTGCACATCCTTATTGTTCCGGTCTTTTTTCCGGTCTCCAAATGCGGAAGATTGATGAGCGGTGGGAATTCTCTGAGCACACAAAGCCACTCCATCATCGAGCTAGTACCAGGACTTATGAAACAAATTTTAGCAAGCATATGACGAACTTCCATAAACAAAAGTATTCCGGCTGCAGACTCAGGTTGCAATTCCCAGAACTCTGTTTACTTCAAACTTCTGTGAAGCATGCATTACTGTATGTTCAACAGTATCATTGGAAATACTAAAAGGTTCCAAGCCCTACAAAGTATGAAATATTGCCTTTTCCTGCAGGAACAGGCTTGGAATGTAGCTTATATGTGATTATCTGCAGCACAAAGCATGAAAGTGTTACAATGCTGCTTGTTTGCTCTCACTTCCCTCCTAAGGAACAGGGAAATTCACGTGGGCTTGTTAAGTGGAGGCATATAAATACTGGTGTACTTTCAGTGAGCAATTCATTAAATACCACTTGTCATCTGCTTTATAAACTCCTATAACTAATGGCCACTGCTGCTACAAAGACACTTCCCCCACAACCTGAATGGGTAAGGTCCATTTGCCTCCATCATGAAAAAGTCTTAACAGTTGTATTAGATTATAACCTAGTATATTTTTTACTTTTTGTAAATTTTGTAAAAGTGATAATAACTTAGAATGAACAAAGAATGAAAGAGTAAACAAAGGAAAGGAATAATAAAGTAAAAAGGGGTAGTAGTAGGAGTTATAAGGAGAGTCAGTCTGTATATAGTTTATAGACAGTATTTCTAAGAGACAGAAGTTCTGAGTTCTAGTATGGAAGGGTGTAGAACCTGTAGAACTGAAGGTGTAAGAGTAGAGAACTGTAACAGTAACTTGTATTATAGGTTTGTTAAGTTTATATTTTCCCTACCTTATATAGTTTTGATTTAATTATAATAATTTTAATTCTTAATATTTTCTCTTAAAATTATAGAATATTATAGTAAATATATTAAGAATACTAGTACCAAATTTTTATATATAGTTATAATAGTAATTATTGTAATAAAAAATTTGTAAGTTATAACTATAAACTCTGAATTATAGAAAGTAGTAAAATTAGACTTAAAATTGTATTCTTAATAAGTAACTTAATACTTAACTATTAATTATATAAAAATATATATAGTAACTACATATAATATAGTACTTATTCTCAAAATTTCAGCTACAAATAATGTCTCCTTAAATTAATATTAAGTGTGTTGTGTATGGGAAAAGTTTCTGTTCACTAAATCAGTACTGATCATCAAAATTCTAACATTCCAACACCAATATCTCAGCTTCAACTCATTTTTTTTTGCTCAAATTTTGTATTTAAGTTATATTTATTGTAGGCTACCTGTATGTAAAATTTCAAGAAATTTTACAAGAATTGAGGGAGGTATTGTACAACTGAGTGTTAACTGGTAACTGAGTGCAAACTGGTGAAACACAGTATGTACAATGACAGGTGAGTCGAGTGAGACAGGTACGTCCACTCAATGCATGGGCTTTATCACCACCTGAAGGTACGTCGTTTGTCACGTGGGAATTCCGATTTCCATCACCCTACCAGACACTTGTAGAGAAAACGTCCCACAAGAACCTTTTTGCAACTGCTTTGAGCGCCATAATGAACTTAAGTCCAACCTTCTTCTGGCCCTGCAGTTTGTCTCTCCATTCTGCCTGGAAGTGCAATGGCTTGAAATTTCTTTGCTCTGCCAGCAGAAGTGAACTAGGATCAAGTAGAGCTTGCTTTCTCTTCAGGAACCAATCCTCGTTATACTTAGTCCAGTAATGTGCATCAACAGAACACTTTGAAAACATAATAGGCCAGAATGACCAAAGTTTCTCTGACTTGTGTGACTTCTCGTTTGATGATCTAAAGACCCCAAGTATTGTATACTCCTCTTCTAGCGTGAGTGAGTCGTCGTACCAGGTCTCTACTGTTTTCCCATCAAGAGACACACAATCCATGACTGCATCGAGCGCTTCTTGAGACGGACCATCCAAGACTAATGATTTCATCACTATCTCGATTGTAATTCGCCAGATAACCCCGCCCCGCATTAAAGCGGCACGAGCAACACGATGGTTGTTCAAGAGAAGGTCTGCTGCTTTGAGGAACGATTGACGGAAGTCAACGGTGGGTATGTCTTCATCAGGCAAGCGAACAGGGCAAGATAACTCAGACTCGGAATCCCGCGATGTCTGGTATTGACTCTGACTATCTAACTGAACAGTGTGAATAGGAATACCGCGGCTGACTAGATGCCGTATGAGCGATCCAAAATCTCCTTGGAATCGCAAACACTCAAGGACGTTAATAGGGTTTTCCAACGCCAGTGTCCATGGTCGCTTCCAGTGAGAGTGATTGACGGCAGGTTTAACAAAGTATATGGGCTTTGTCTGTCTTGCACGTTTTGTAGTTTGTCTACCGCCGCCGCCGCCTGCCTGAACGAGCATGTCTCTTATTTCAACATGCACACGAGCATTGCTGGCTATTCCTAAGTATCTAGCATTGCCTCTTCGAAGGTCGCATAGGTCTCTTGGAAGCTTGTTCGGGTCACCATCACAGTCTTCAATAGCAGAGATCAGGTCAAACAGGTCCTGGCGAACGCGAGGAGAAATACTGTGTAGTGGAGTAGATTTGGATGCATATAGCTTTCCAATACAGGGAGCAAATTGACTAATGTTGACAGGAGCAAGATGAAGGTATGTTTTACGGCACGGTGAATATCCAAGACGAAGGCGAGCATCCTCAACAATGTCTTCATCCATAGACCACTGCATGTCTGGTTCAGCACCATAATCCTCCCTGAATGCAAGGGCTTGCTGGTGCATTCGGACCGAATTGAGTTCAAAGACATGTAAAGGATCAATAGGCTCAGGTGTTAATGAGTGATGGCTACTATTCGAGAATGATGATATTGACACCGAATCATCTGTAAGATCAGGAAACAATGCTCCGGGAGGCACAAGCTGTCGATCTGAGTTCTCTGAAGGATGTTCAATTTCATATTTTAGTTCCTTCAATTCTTCTCCCGATAAAGGATTGCCATATCTATCAAGTCCCGAGTTGTATGCCTCGATGTCACATTCCGCTGGTCCATTTCCCTTGTCAAATCCTTCCCAAAGATCCCACTCATCTTTGAGAGGGTCATATATTTTTGCAGCTGCAGAGTAATCAAGCCAAACGTCCTCGACAATATCTCGTGGGACACGGGTTCGCAGAAGATACCCGGACGTGCCTTCAAGCCATCTGAAACATGCTGCTCCCTTTTTACCTGGAACCGACTTTTGTTTCGCATATTCCAGCCTATTCAAGCGTGCTTGGCACTCCTGTTGGGTCTCATTCTCCACGCGCTTATCCAACATCCTCTTCCTACGAGCTAGAAACTGAAGCGGAGTCTCGCCACGCAATTGACCGGAATCTGGATACGGGCGAGGCACAGTTATTTCCTCGAAAGGGGCTGGATTGTTCTTCGGCAGTTCCGAGTCCCAACTTCCGCAGACATTTTCGAAGTTGAAATCAAGGGCAAGACTGATAGTTGTAGGCTGTTTGAAAGATTCTACTTCATCAGGTCTTGGGTGAAACTCTTCCCAATACTTGCGTAACTGAATCTGATACTCAACCGAGTTGTCGTATCTATAGTGCATGTATGGATCCAATTTTTCGCCCCAAATAATCCAGACTGGCATTCCGAGTCTGATGTGAAGTTTCATCACAGATACTGAGCGATAATTCTCCCAGTGTACAAACGCCCCAACGCAATCTTTAAAATCAAGGTCCTCTGATAGTCTCCCAAGCTGGGTAGTTTTCACCGCGTCAACCCACGCTTGCAGTGCGCCATATTTGCGTACCAACTTCGTGTGCCAGTCTTTGCGGTTGATTAAAATGTACATACGAATTATTGCAATTAATGCACGGAAAGCTTCTCTTGAGCGGTTTGCAGCGGTAGTAGCCTGTTCCTTCGTTAAGTGTCCGGCTTGGTATCCATAATAGCTAGGGCTGTTATAATAACGAAAATCCAGCGTCCAAGGATTGGCAGATAGAATAGGCGTCATATGGGCAAGGGCACGCCTCAATTCGGTCAGGCTTTCCTCCAAATCGAACCATTTTGCAATAATCGAAGGTCTGAGTCGGTATAGGCGATCGGGTGACTGCACAATTGGTGCCACTTTTCTTGGATAATGTAGTCCGCGGAGAAATCCATCGAACCGGAAGAAAGTAGGAGCATACCCCAGATATGGCAGGTCACTGTACAGATACCCAGGCCGCTTGAGACTGAAGGGGCCTACTTTACGGTGAGTGTAGTCATCAGCAAATTTTGGCGGTTCAGGCACAGAGGCAGTATTGTAGCAGATGTAATAGCACCCGTCCCGTTCCAAGATCTTCCGCCTTTCTGGCACGAATGGCTCCTTCCACGTGTTCTTTTTCCAAGCTTCCTCCAGCGCATCTTGACCTAGCGGGGCCAAATAAGGTGTATTCGGCGAGAAGAAGTGGTCCATTGGAAACAAGGAAAATTATCTGTCATAGAGACAGTCCAACAGCCGGCTGTATGCCCGAGAAATCCGATTATAAATTTTCTGCGAGTGTACAGTGCTCAAGATACGAGTGCTAAGATGATTGGGTGCAGGAAAACTCACAATAGGATGTATTTAGTGAATCCCGTCATTTACAAATACTCCCTGACAATGCCAAACTGTCTCCCAACTGAATCCAGGTGCTTCATGTAAATACAGTGAAAAAGTAGATGTATTAAAGGAACGGAACACAACTAGGACTAGAACCGGGACCGTAACGAATGTATGTCGTCCAATAAATGCACAGGGTGCGAATTGATCACACCCTATGCAAAATAAGTTAGCGTTCGCACTGTAAATCTCGAATTGTCCGGGTATAACTCGCGACAAATCGATAAGTGCAGAACGTTGGCGCCAGTTCTCAACGTCTCCTACGGATGAAGCAGGACAAGCGATGCCGTGATGGCGCGAATCATCGTAAGAACGAAAATTTTAGTAATGTCACAAGTCCTGCTTATGAGAAACTTTCGGACTTCCAACTTATAAAGTCCGCTATGATTGTCATGTCACGTCACAAGTCCTGCTTATGAGATATGTTGCGGACTTTCAATTTGTGAAGTCCGCAAATAGGCGCAGTCGAAGAAACAATCTTCTATATGTATTGTTTTGATAGACGACCTCACATACACGGACAATATATCTGGTGCTCTCGTTTCGTATCTCCAAGGATGGACTGCTCCAGTTGTCAATACTCAATATTCGAGGACGAGTACGACAAGGATCCAAGTAGATTCAAGGCTTTGCAAGAGGCACAACCTGTGACAGATCATGAAATTCACTCTGAAGAGATGCAGTAAGTACATTGCTATGTACTAGTTGACATTAGTAACAAAGATCTGCGTGACTTGCACAAGTTTTGTCCTCATTTCCTCCAGCCTTCCAGCCAACTCGGCATCTCTCGCTTCCTCTGTCTGATGTGCCGGGCATTTGTGCAAGGCCATGACTTGAGTACAACTAGCATGCGCCGAAAAGTCGACACGCTTTCCCATAAGGTTACCACGTAGACGACCCTCTTTACCTTTTAAGCGCGCACGGATGGCTTTAACAGGGCGACCAGATTTCTGAAGAGCCTGCGGTATCCCAGCAATGTCGTTGTCCATATATGTAGCGACGTGGAACTGTATAATGTGTCAGACAGTGAGAGTCACTACAAGACCACACAGTTCATACTGCAACAGTTGCTCAAACTCAAAAATGACATGCGCCGGTGCGCCTTCTTCCTCACATCTACGAACGTTTGCTGACGCTTTGATGATATCGCCCAGCTTGTAGGTCAAGTCATCTTCACTAAGCAACGCACCATCGTCCGCAGATATGCTTGGTCTCACAGGTGGCGGAGGAATAGGTAAAATGGTCAGTATCATCCAGTCAGGACAAGCATACTCCTCCAAACTCGGAGGTCAGCGTTTCACAGCTGAGTCCTTTTTTTTTCTTCTATCGCACTCCTCGTTCAGCGCCCCCCCCCCATTTCACTCACATGCCGTTGGCCTAACCACCTGCGAAGCATGTGTAATGGTCAATGCGGCGGTCAAACGACCGATGACGCGCACGACCCATGCCCGAGAGGAAGAACGCCTCGTTTTCGAGGACTACACAGCGATGCGAGTCGATTCGCAAATACTGTAGACCCTATCAGAAGGGCACATAGGAAATCCGTGCGAAAAGTCAGCGAGGAATATGGAGGACAGTGAATCTCAATTGATCGCCTGCGCAGTTGACGGGAGAACACCTCGTTAAGCAATGCCGAGCAGAGTGTTCAGACAGACAGAAAGAAAAAAGAAAAAAGCAAATAGATCGCGTTAGATCAGGAAATAGAGTCACAATGGAACGAGTACTTACCAGGATAAGGACACCTATCCATACTCCCGAATCTTCATTGTGTTAAGTAGCATCAGACTACAGGTTGCTCTGATCATTAGCAAAAGGTAAGAAACTGGGTCGACTGAGAGCAGATCGGGTAGAGATGGTGAGGGAAGAGACAGTGCGTTGACTCGTAGTGTACGAGGGACGCTTGATCGTCATCTGAAAGCTTCCTCGATCGCTTTGTGCGCACGGCGTGGCGGTTGACTGGCGTCGTCCGATACCGCATCGTGCACGTCGGCCCGTCGCGACGACGGAGAAACGGGTGTATCTACATTCATATCATTCGCAGACGAAGGAGCAGCATGCCACCTTGACACCATTCATATTACCACTCCCATTCGCCTCTGCAACGGGCGGCTCACCTGATAGTGCTGGCGTTGCCTGCTCAGCCATTCGAACATCCTCCAGTAGTTGCCCGGCTGGCAGGTACAGTAGGTTGGAAAAACTCCCAGGGCTGTTTGGTAAAGTGGTTAACTGCGTGGAGAATTCGCTAGGCCGTTTGGTTGTGGTTACCACCAGTTGACCACACACAGGAGGCAAAAAAACCGATTCTGAGGTCTGGAAAATTTGTTTCAGAATGTATTTTCAGCCAATCAGGTGGGAGCTTTTGGATTTTGTAATAAATTCCCAGGGTTACAGAATGCGAATCTGCCTCCTGTGCCACGTAATGTAATATTAGTAATATACCAAAAATGGAACTTTTGGTTTCTCTTATGATTTCTCGTCACTTTTTTGTATTTCAAAACCCCCATGTATCTACTAGCGAATGAAAATACTACTACTACGCATATAATACCATGAATAACATGTGCCTTCTTTGGTACTCTTTCGTTTCAAATACGGTATCGGAGACGGAATAGGAGAACGTGTCAGGAAGAGCGCAAATGGTCGTGTCAAAGTCGCGCGTCATTGTGAGTCTAACCACGCGGTCGCAAGCAAGGTTCTGTCACCCGAGAATATGCTTTCGACTTGCCATCCTTTCAACACTCGTGCAAAACCGCCAACAGCGTAAGTCTTAGAATCAACACCACGAAGCTCACCAACCATCCAAACGTCGTTCGCATCTCCGATGTTGTCAGCAGAGTGGTGCACGGCTTCCTTGTTCTGCAATACGTCAATGCAGTGGGCTACTTCAAGTGGATTATCTACGGAGTTGCTTACGCTTGTGCCTTTTCTGTCATTCGTCGCGATCTCAAGCCGGCAAACTTGCGCATCGCCCATAAGGCACTGTACTACTTCAAGCAGATTACCTATGGACTTGCTTATGCTCATACCTTTTCTGCCACTCGTCGCAATCTCCAGCCAGAGAACATGCTCATCGCAAATCTCAAGCCCCTGAATGTCGAGAACTTATACTACAGCAACAGCGGAGAGTTCTTTGACTATCTCGTGCTCCTCTTCCCTGTTCTGGAATGCGTCTACAGTGGAGAAATCTTCGACTATCTTGTTAGCTTCGGCCGAATAGAACATCACAAGGCACTGTGCTACTTCAAGAATGCTCTGGACAAAATTGCTATCTGTACTCCTTGCTGCCTTTTCTCTTGTGTCTGTCGTACCTATGGACTTGTCTGTGCTCATGCCTTGTCCGTCATCCATTGCAGCCTCAAGCTAGTGAAGAGTCGCTTTTATCATGATGGCCAACCAATTAGGCACTATATGGCGCCACCTATGGAAGATGTACCAGAGTCACCATCTGAGATGATCTCGGATTCTGCGCACACAGGACCTGCTGGACATCCCTCGCGTACTCCGCAAATTCAAGCAAGTCGCCTTGCCCCGAAGCCTCCACAGCGCATGCTGGCGAATGGGTCTACACTCGAGCCAGGGTCCCCGATGATTTCTCCTCCAAATTCTCGTATGCGATCCGTCTCTCTCAGTGGTCCACTAACTCTGTGTTCCTCTCAAGTTGCAAGGGGACGTCCTGCGTCTTCTCCTGTGCCGCCGCGCGACGTATTTGTGGCGACCGATGCCGAGACTGCTGAGAAGATGAGGTCCCCGAGGGATGGTGTAGACGATATTCATATGCCGCTGCGGGTGATCTTGTCCTGTAACACGTCACCCAATTGTGCGATACGCACGGAAACACAAACAGTTGACGGTCTTCCATATAGCCAGCAGAGATACGACCCAATGACTGAAATTCCTACGCCCGGTACTCCTCGCGATGTTCCACCCTGGATCCCTACGTGTGCTATTGCAACCGATGTCTCACTGTCCCCGTCCCCGTTACTCTGACAGGATACCTATGCTTTGCTCAATGTCCCGATTTGATTTGTCGTATGCTTGTTGTCCACTTGCAAGGGTGTATCAATTCATTGGAAACTCCTCATCACCTGCGTATTGGTCCCACGCTTGATGAACTACTCTCCTGGTCAAGACTCGCTCGTCAACGGCTTATATTTCGTGCTCGCTAAGCATAGAGAACGTATGCCTGAAGAATATGGAATACAGAGTCAAACCTCCACGAACCCCCCATGAACCCCCGGTGTAACCTCCCGTGTCCCAGTCCTGTCCCAGTCCCAGTCCCAGTCCCAGGACCTAGTCAGGGTATAGAGCCCCTGCTAGTGTCACCTCCCAGTCCCAGTCCCAGTCCCAGTCCCAGTCCTAGTCATGTAACTCCCAGTTTCTCTTTTTTCTTTCTCTTTTTCTATTACTTCTCTTTTCTTTCTTTAAGTCTCTCTCTTTTCTTCCTTACTCCCCTTTTATTTCTTTAGAGTAGGGAACCCGGAAGAGTGTAACCTCCCAGGTTACACACGTGATCTTAGATACATATAAAAGGGTTGTAGGTAGCTATTTTGAGTCTTATCTTCGTACCTCGCTTCTGTACTTAGGTCACTAGAGCTCAATCCCATATCATTGCCCGTTCTGTGTTCCTGAGTGAGGCTCCGGCCTTACACACTACAGTCTGCAGTTGCTCGGATTTCTTAAACAGTATTTTTATGAATACTCATGATGCAGTTGCAAAGGTGCCAAAGGGTCTTCATTTGAACAAGGATATCTATACAGGTATGAATGCAATAGGGAGAGGAGTTATTATTAAGGCCCTTGTGCAAATTCGTCCAATTTTAATCATATTATACATATGTGAATTGATTACTAGTGCTCCGCGCGTAGCGTATACACTTACGCGTGTAAAATTTCCCACGTATACGCATACGCACGTATAATTACGGGCGTAAACTGGGTCAGCAGGACCCATATACGATACGCTACTTCTGTATACAGTGTATACAGTGTATACGCTGTGCCAAATAT